GAAGATGTCGCCTTTTGTCAAGGATGGTTGGTCCAGATTCTGAGCTGGGGCCAAGGAAGACACAGAACTAGCAATCGGGGCCGATGGCACGGCTAGGATTTTCGCGTTTGGTTTGGATTTCTTGGGTCGACCGGGCGTCTTCTCAGGCTTCGCGAATCTCTTGCCTTGAGGACTCGAACTTGAATATGCCATCCTCGCTTTGAGCTCCTCCACGACTCTTGGTCCTACATGAGGTACTTTAAGAGCATCTTCTGGCCGGTGCAAGACTTCCGCATATCTTTTCATACTCCATGCAGCCTTGTTGTAAGCCATATACCGATAGGATTCTGAGAACCCATTCAATCCAGTTTTTAGTTTTCTTACTCGATACTTCAAGTTCAAACACACCTGGCTCTTGGGCATCTCGTAAGTCCTCGATTATTTTGAGAAACAGAGGATTTGCGCAAGGTGGGCGTTTAGGAGGCATGATATTAATGTCAAAAACGCGAGGTTTGGGAAGGTCAAATTCGTGGATGAGTCAATAAACAACTAGGTGAAGCGAATTCGTGACGTGACTAGTCACGCGTTGTAACACAACTGTCAACATTTGTTGAAAAGCTTAAGATGAGAAAAGACCCTGGTCGATTTATAGCTTTCAAGGATGAATGTAATCTTGTTCGGAGCGACAAGAGAAGGGTTTCAAAAGAAGAATGTGTAGGTAAGTAATTTTATGTAAGCGCATTGTCCTCAGCTTCGTTTGTTTTGGGTCTACTAGTATTTGTGTGAAGTCAACGCGCACCCAACCACGATTGTTGTGAGTATCAGACATCAAGGAGCCAGCAGATTAGCTTGTCTTGAGAATAAACTTGAAGCTCTTTAACTATTCAACGCGGCGGTCCCAGTCGTTTTTATCCGTACCACTTCCTACCCATCCTGGTCTGATACGACTCTCGATGTGGAATTACAGACTCTGAAATTCCAAATACTTCGATAGCGTGCTATAAATGTATACCAGGTCAGTCTCATCATACATCCTCGACTGCCTAAGTGTTCACACCTTCCAAGTAGCCATATCCAGCTCGAATACCAATTGACGACTTTGAGATTGATTTTCATACGTTCGTGTTTGAGACTGATCGGAATCTTCGTCTAATACAACTATTATATTCGATTTAAATGAGCAATAGAAAGACAAAAAGTGAAAAACGCACTATGTACAATCGGTTCTTTGTCTTTTTCTAAGGAAAGCCCAACTTTTCCTTCTTTAATAAGGAACGATAGATAGAATAGATTTTCAACTGATTGGGCGAAACTGACGGGATTGATGATGAGTTGGAATAGATTCGTAGGCCCAATGTTTTCCAAAATTGCATGTATCTAGACAAGTGATGATGGAAATTGTGACCATGCCTCCCAGCAAAAAAAATAACCCACTGTGATAACGTTCCTCGTTGTCTCATTCGTAGATCTTTGTAAATCTTCGGCAGTGACTGCCTGAGGTTTTCGTTCGTCAGCCTTATTCTTTTTGAATCTAGCACTCTGAGTTCGGGTTCGGGGTTTTTCAAGCGAGATAGGACCTGACCTGCAGGATGAACATAGTTGTACGAGTTTAGCAAACCGCGAACAAAGGACTAACATAAAACCAACAGCCGGAATACGCCTAGTCTTTTTCAAAGCTAATTTCCCTATCCGTTCCCACTTTAAGGGCTCGACCATTTCCGGGTCATCTTCGTTGTCAGATATGTGTTCGACGGATTCAAGTTCAACCCTTCGCCCATCCATGAACGTAACCAGTCTTGATACATATTCATCGAAATCGAACACTCCCGAACCAAATTTCAGTTGACGGGTCAATTGCGCTGACTTTGAGGAAATTGTAAGCACTACATCGGAATCGAGAATAGCTTCGGGTGTATCTTTAACTGCAGACGGCTGTCAGTCAGTGCAGACGCAATGTGCCTTACAGAGACTAAACCTCCCTCGCTCGAAAAGGACATTTGCTGTCTCGAGGACTTCTGCAAGTTCGCCGGCGCGTTGCTTGCCTTTGTGGTCAAAAGCTGTAAAAGGTTATCAAGAATCAATTAGTAGAAAATACCTGTTAACCAGCCTTGTAATTGCTGCTGGGCAGCCCGATATTTCCTTCGCAAGTCCTGCTTAACGTCGGCGTCTTGATTGGGGTTGTAGATTAGAGCTGAACCGAATGAATATATAAGTTTCCAACGTTGAAGGACTTAGTACATTGAGCCGACTGACAACTATCATCGGAATCGCTCAATTCTTTGTCAGACATCTCTGTTTGAGACTGCGACGTTGAATAATATTCTTGGATTAAACAACGTAGACGGAGTTTTCAGGGTACGATGGATGGGATCCGGGATCGAAGCAGAGTAGATTGCCGGAAGTAAGACGAAAAATACAAAGATGAAGATAAATCGAGTGTTAAATGTCGAAATCGTCGTCGTCGAAGTCTTTTCTTCGCTGAAACTGTGTCCGTAAGATGTAAGTGATTGACGGGGCCAAAACCAGAAAATGACCCAACGAACCACAATCTTAGACTGCTTCGTTGTTGTCTTTCCTCCAGCACTCTCCATCTGGCCATGCATGATCTCAGCTGTAATTCCCGCACAACATGATATCGAGAAAGACGACGCACTTGATCCAGCAGCTCAATCAACTGATTCTCTGATACTCGTCCTCTTAATTGACCCGACTGCGCCATTCTCAGCAGAATCATCTCAATTTGCCTCGATCTTTCGGGACTGACAAGGGATATGCGCGATACTTCGAGATATAGAAATTAAGAAATTGTATATTGTAATTTAATATTTAGGGAACATACATCGTTCTCGAGCACCATTATCCAGTACTGTAGCCATCATATCACGTCGCATCTGTTCCTCTTGCGCCCTCTTCGCTTCTTCTTCCTCTGCATTTTGGCCGCCTTGGGCGCCGTCTGGTATTTGACTGAGATCCATTGAGGTTATGACCTGAGCTGCGTCAGAGGCCGACCGATTCCCCGGATTTTTCCGATTTCCGGACTTTGCCTCCGACCCTAACTCCGATTCGTGGAAGGATGACTTTCGAGAATCAAAGAATCAAATCGTTCTTATTGTGTTTTTGAACAAAACAAGTCAAACAACCACTTTGAGGTCAATGGACGCCATTCAGTTGAAGCCCGTACCCGAAGGAAGAACAAAAGAAACAGAATAACGTAGCCGTCCTTCCGAAAAAGGCAGGTGTCAAAGCCATTGTTCTCAACCAGATCATCAACTTCATTGTTTTGCGTCGAATATAAAAAGGCCGCCTGGCAAAATGCTCTCTTCACCTATTCCTCCTTCTTGCCCTAGACGCACGACCCTCTTTTACGACTCTATCTGCTTTCTAAATCACACGAGCTGGCCACCATGTTCTCTTACAAAACTTCTGCCTTTGCTGCCCTAGTTGGCATTTCTCTTGCTGTCATTCCCCCTGTTGTGCGATCTGCTACTATCGACGTTACCGTTGGAGGCCCTAATGGAACTGTTGCTTATGCCCCAGAATACGTGGTACGTCTTCCGATATATTCTATTTGTATCTTTACTGACTTTTTTTTCCCAGAACGCAAGTATCGGCGATGTCGTCCGATTCACATTCGAGCAGAAAAATCACACTGTGACCCAATCTTCCTTTGCTTCTCCCTGTTCACCACTTGCCAATGGCTTTGACTCTGGATTGTGAGTGTCGTAGATTCGTTCCTTCACGGTCCACCTTGTTAACAATCGGTAGTGTTCCGGTCGCGGCTAATGTTACCAGCGACTTTATTACCGCAGAACTTACGATTGAAAATACCGACGTGAGTGACTTTCAATATTCCTCACGTTTTCTCTGTTCAACGCTAGATGTCTTTGTAGCCTGTTTGGGTATATTGTCGTCAAACTGGTCATTGCGAAGAAGGCATGGTCTTTGCCGTTAATCCTGGCTCCGACGCCAAATTCGCCGCCTTCAAGGATGCTGCTATGGGCCAAAATTCGACTTCCACAGCTTCCGCTTCTATAGTCACAGTGACAGCCACCGTAACTGTTTCTGGAGGGGAAACCATCACAACGACTTACGGTTCCTACCCTGGCTCGTCTGCTCCTACTGCCGCCACTTCAACAGACCACAAAGTCATTGTCGGCGATAATGGTACCCTCACGTACAATCCCGCCAATATCACTGCTCAAATTGGGGACACTGTTACATTCGAGTTTCATCAGAAAAACCATACTGTCACTCAGAGTTCTTTCACTGACGTATGTCTACGTCCATTCATTCAAAAAAACATAGCTCATTTTGTACTTTCACATTTTGTACTTTTCTAGCCTTGCACCGCTCTATCCGCGAGCAGCCCCGGGACCGTCAGTTTCGATTCGGGATTTATGCCCGTCGCAACGAACGCTACGACTTTCCCTACCGTGACTATTCAGATCAACGACGTAAGTCCTGTACCTCTTCGTTTTCTTGTCCTCAGTCTTAACACCGCCCCTTTTCAGACCAAACCATTCTGGGCATACTGCCGTCAAAGCACCCCAGTATCTCACTGCGAATCTGGGATGGTATTCAGTGTCAACGCTGTTGAGAACAGTGATAGCTCCTTCGAAGCCTTCCAAGCTAAAGCCCTTGCTCTCAACACTACTGCCTCAGCCTCTGGTTCTGCTTCGCTCTCCTCGCCCTCTGCGACTTCGACCAGCAACAGTGCATTGTCAATACATGGAATCTACGGTGCTGGCACCGTGATTGCCATTGTCGGTGCTGCTGTTGGCGTCCTCTTATAGTCACTCTTTAGTTGACGATCTTTCATGATTACCTGGGTTATTGGCTGAGAGATGTATCCTTACAAATTATTACCGTACGCGCAGATGACATTACTGTATCCTTTAATCTCCTCTTCCCACCCTTCCCGCTTGTAGCATTATGATACTTTTAACAATCTTGTTGTAACTGATTTTTGACCAGAGCGTAATGACATGATATTATCACATGTAAAGCTGTAGAAAATTACCGCCCGCCTAGCTCAATCGGATAGAGCGTCAGACTCTTAGAAGCTAGGCTATTGCGCTCTTCGGATGATCTGAAGGCTGCGAGTTCGACCCTCGCGGTGGGCTAATGATTCGTTACTTTTTCAAATTTTTCGTAACGCGTTTTGCTGTTCGAACTCTTTGGAGACCAATAAGTACATGTAACCTTTCTTTCACCAGACACCCTATAAGTATACAATCTTCACAACGACAATCAGCTGAGCATTTCGGTGACCCCGGGCGGTGTTTATCAAGCAAAATTCCCAAGCCCATTTCATTTTCCTCTTTATACCACAGTCCCGCTTCTAAGAGTAGTCTACCGTTGCTCCAACAACATATGCATTTGCGACATCCTTTGTAGTGTGCACGATGTCCGTGGTCATGAAGGTTTAAAACATGTGCAAAAGTCTCATTATCCGCTTGTCCCGAGTTCTCAAATGACTTCACGCTTCATATTCCGCTGTCCAGTGTGAGTGTATTTCCATCTCATTCCATCAACCTGTGATATCTCGCTAAACAACGACCTGGTCAGTTGACTGCTCTCAGCCTCTACCCGTCGACACTTCCCTGCGCACAAACAATATTATTGGCATATGTACCCGATTTGCATTCTATTTTTACCGACAATTCCTAGCGTACAGGGGCAGTAGAATGGATGAAGCTGTTTGAAGCCATGGAGAAAAACCAATAAATGGTTTCCATTGGACAGAAATCGACTTAAGGCCTCCCTCATACGGATTTCCCTCCCTAGGATGCACTCCTTGCTGCTCGTCTCCGTTGCACTCAGCGCCGTTGGCTTAACCTCCGCAAATCCTGTGGATTTGGAACGGAGGACCGTCACCACGTTGTCGGCAACGGAGCTCTCTAGTTTTGCTCCCTTCACACAGTTTGCAAGGGCAGCCTACTGCGGCACTGATATTCTACAGGACTGGACTTGTGGAGGTACGCGATTTGTATGTCTCTGACAGTGAAATGTGCTGAGAAAATGCTCCGGTAGAGGCCTGTGAGGCGAACTCGGATTTCGAAGTCTCTCTAGTTGGTGGAGATGACGACGATATTCAGAATTGTTAGTACCCTTGCTTGTCTTTAGTCGGAGGTAGCTCATTTTTATCGTTTTAGATTTTGTCGGGTACGTACCCCTTCGATGTTCCGGTAATTGTTACCGAAATAACGGACAGATATTCGCCTTCCTTGGAAGCTATCATCGTGGCTCATGAGGTATGTCTCTTACAGATGCATCTTCATAAATTCTCACCTGTTTATAGGGAACGGATCCCACACAACTGTGAGCTTTGTGGATCAATATAATATCCGTCCGGACCAAGGGTTTATATACCTACCTAGTGAATCCGACCTCACAGACATTGATGTTCCTTTGGCCCCACTAAGCAGCACCCTGTTTCCTGGTATCTCTTCCGACGTCGAGGTTCATACTGGCTTTCAAGACGAACATGCTTTGACTGCCGACGTCATCTTAGCAGAAGTAAAATCCCTCATGAGCTCCGTAGGAACTAGCAATATCGTCGCGGTCCGTATAGTCCATCGTCGCACCCTGCAAATCTATGGCCTGACTAGAGCTCACAGGTTGGCCACTCTCTTGGCGGGGCACTAGCTGAAATCGATACGATATTCTTCCGACTCAACATTCCTTCCGCTACTATATCTGCGATGACCTACGGAACACCACGAGTGGGAAACCCTGCTTGGGCTGCATTGGTTGATGCTTCAGACGTATGTTGTATCAATGTTCCCTCCAATTCATCTGTTCTCATCGAGGCACTGCTAGGTCAACTTCAAACGGATAGACAATATGCAAGGTACGAATCAAACCCTGTTTCTCCTATGAGGCCGGCTGAACGTATCATGCTGCAAAGATTTAATCCCAATTGTTCCGGGACGGGCATTGGGCTACGAGCACCCAGCAGGAGAAATACATATCCTTTCTCCTGGTGATGCAGTGTCTTGCCCCGGCGACGACGATGCTACCGATTCTGAATGTCAGATTGTGAGTTGAGCCACATCATATATATTCTAATCTCTAAGTACTTGTAGGAATCTGTCCCAACTATTTTTGAAGGGAACATCATAGACCATGTATGTGGTCTGATTTTTTTTAAAATTATTATTTGCTGATTATGATTTCAAAAGCTTGGACCATACGAGGGGATATATATAGGGACTATATTTTGTACCTAACGCATGCAGCCTCGTAAAATTATCGAATTCTTATTTTGAATCTTCACTTTATATAAAACTGACGAACCTCAACGATCTCCTAAATTCGATACTTTGTTGGTGTAGCAAGCTATCATGCAACTAATCAAGGACCAAACACTCAAGTTTGGATTGAGTAAGCACTATCGATTCCACGATGACGTCGACCGACATCTCCAATCGGCGTCGCAAAGTACAACACATGGAAACGCTAGAATCCTTTTGGCAAACTGCCGAACCTATCCTGCAGTCCGTATTCGACTCTCCCGAAGCGCCTCCGAAAGATCTAAACTACGAAGCGTTTTCCTCTGTTTATACAAAGTGCTATGATTATACAACTTCTCGAAAATCACAAGCGACTGCTGAGGGCTTTCCTTCCTTTTCTAGTCATCAACTGGCGACGGCGTCAGAGCCTGGCTCCCCTGCTGCTCTTTTCTTGCCACCACCTTCATACAAAAGAATTGATGAATTCTTTGCTGAACGGGCAAAGATTACCTATAACAACTCCCCGGGACCCACTACATCCTTCTTAGATCTAGCCAGGTATGTTCTGGTGCAATTCACTCGATTCTCTGGCGCAGCTTCCATCACCTCTCGTCTGCTGAGGTATCTTGAGCGATATGTAATCACCCAACTGATATACGAAGGACATGGGTGGTCCACTGTCGGGATACAGTCTGACAACATCTCGAAAAAAATGACCAAAAAGCAGCTACAGGAGAGAGATCAAAAGCTGGAGAGGTGGGGCTACGAAAAAGATGCAGACAATAACTTGGGAACGTTGAAAGAGGTCGAATCTTGGGCTGAAGCCGGCAGCTCTCTAGATCGTATCGTGCCTATCAAATCTCTAGCCTTTCGACGGCTGAGGGTGGCATTCCTCGAGCCATTGCTTGCTGACCAAGGCAGGTTGGCTCTTGCGATCGGAGAGTTATTGGATCCCCACGAATGCCAGGAAGTAGAGGGGTCTGATAAAGAGGAGTTGTTATTGGGTTTGAAGGATGTATTCCGCAGTTGTGGGATAGCCCCGGACAATTTGCTACGTGTCAAATTGGAACTGTACTATGAGGCTAAAGACGCACCATCTTGAAATATTTCGGGCCGTCATTTCAGAAACGTGTACCACTTACAACGTGGAATGTAGTAGTAGGATAACTGCCATGTACATGCAGGTACTTGCCATCGTATCTTTCCTATCGTTTACCGAATCATACCAAAATGCTTAGTCCAAAAGTAGGCGTCGGGGTGTTCGTCCTCAACAAAGAGGGAAAATTCGTACTAGGAAAACGAAAGGGAAGTCATGGACATGGTATGCGATATATCCATTCTCCAATCAAGAATGTATGTTATAATGAATTTACGCAGGAACATGGGCGCTCCCAGGAGGGCATCTTGAAGCCGGAGAATCATTCGAAGATTGTGCCGCACGTGAGGTATTGGAGGAGACCAATCTCAAGATCAAGAATATACGTTTTTTGACAGCGACAAACGATGTCATGGTGGCTGAAAACAAACACTACGTGACGATATGGGTTGCTTGTGAGATGGTGGACAATCGAGCTGTAGCAGAAGTGAGCATCTGGAAATCTATCATTATAAGTTGCCTTTTTTTCCTGACGTGACGCTATCAGAATCTTGAACCGGAGAAATGTGAGGTATGGGAATGGGTTACTTGGGAGGAGTTGAGGCGATGGGTTAAGCTTGAGGTAGTCGAAAGAACAGATCCAGGATATCGAGCTCTATTCCTTCCCCTGCTGAACATCGTCGCGCAAAGACCTGATTTCAAGGGGCCAGTTTCAGCTGACTGAGGACACTGATCTCATCTCAAATGATAGAGACAAAAGGGCGCAAGTGTGCAGAACATCAGAGGAGAGATTTCTCATATTATTGAATGACCCGCTGTCAAGAAATAACGATGTATATATGGTACAGTCTCAGTCTGCAAGGAGGATTCCCGATGAATTTATCCTGAACGGGCTCCAGACATTAGAAACCTGAATATCGAACTTGTCAGGTAACACGACACTCAGCAAAATACTTGCTCACTGAGAATTTGGACCGAAAGACCTCGATAACATGAGCAGTGGATCTTTCTTCGGTCTGTTTTTTCTCAGGCCAAAGGGAAACCCACAAAGTCGCGTCGGTCATGAATGTGAACGAGGGCCCCAGAGCAGGTTTTCGAATCGTTGACGCGAATGCAGATAGAGGATTTGATACAGCTTGAACAGGGATTTGTGCTCTGTTCGTAGACCGAGCTCGCATGAGCGTTGCGTTGTTGACTACCTTGTATACCCATTAGCACAATTTATAAATATAGCACTGGGTGCACGAACTAGTACGAGCAAAGAGTACCGAGTTGCTAGGTCGTGAAGATATCGCATAAAGGCCAACATGATGGCATGCCCTTGGGACGAGACAGCACTCAAGTAGGGACTGAGTAGAGGTGTGACAGGGTCTATGACGATGCACCTCATACGGGGAATGGACTCTTGCTTTGATAAATGAGTGAATCGAAAAGTTAAAACGACGTCTATGTCTTACATGTGCGAGTTGGACATCTAGAGCACGGATTATTTCCTGAACAGATTCGATATCGACTGCAGTGGATATATGCAGCCTTTGTAATATGATTTCCATATTGTCTGGAGTCTGAGAACATCCGAGTTACTTCTACGCTTGAGTAAATAGATGATGATCTCAACTTGCCGGTGATACTCTAGAATCTGGACGGCTTTCTCAATGGCGAAGTCGCCGGTTGTATCAATCCACAAAGCTGAAATGTCCTTATTCTTGAGAAGCGATATCAAGACGCAGTTGAGAAGGAGAACCTTTAATATCAGACGATCTGAACAGATAGTTAATTGGGCTAAGTATTG